AAGCACACAATTAGTTCAACAAAGAATTTTCCAAGAGCCAGTACCATTTACTATTACATCTTCACACTTCTCTTTTTAGTGTCTCAACTCTAATAATCAGACACCAGACCTAAGTTGTTACAATTAGATTCCCAATGTTCTGAGTATGAATATCTTACTTCTCCACGTTCTAGATAGCTTCATATTTGGACATAGATCAGCAAACTAGTATTATCCAGAAATGATGATTATGATTCAAGAAGCTTGCTACAAACGAAAGAGGGGTCTACAAAAGTTGTTTAGCTGGTAAATGCATATGCATTCTCTCTATAGCAAACATTAGCCGTTGACTACTCCGTCAAACTTCCCAATGCAAAAATTTGAGTGCATAATGATTTTATTAGTCAACTCCTTACTGATTACAAATGATTAAATGAATTAATAAAAGTCACTAACTATTCAAAATCTGATCAATAACGTGAAAGGACTCAGGATCCACATTATGACTGTCCTAAATTCTTTTTAACCCACTACAACATAATACTACGTATCCCGGGCCTAAATTTGCTCTGTTAGATGGATTTTCACCGTCCAGTAACAAAAATATTTCCCTACTTGTTGACAAGTTTGGAATCAAAACCTGTTTAAACAGTCAGGCATCACTGGATATCATAGAAAGCTGATCAAATGCTTCAAAATGTAAATATTCCTCAGAGCAAGTAAGCCCAAACTTAATTGTTTTCTCAGTTTCTAGCAACTGCAGTAACTATTAAAGAGGGAGGATAAGAGGAACTGTATGGAGCACATTTACAGATATCCAGACACACCCAAACCATGTAACATCACTTGCACAGAACGTTGCTTACCTGATTCAAAAACTTGTGGTACTGAAAAGAAGTAACAAATTGAGCAACCTGAAAGAAAATAAGAATATCGCTATTCTGAATAGCATGATGTTCTTTTTCAATGTCATCACGAACTGACTGCATCAGAACTGTAGGGAGTTGAATTAGAATAGAAAAATGAGTAGTGCCACGAGAAAGAAAGAAAGAAAGAGACAAACAAAGCAAAAGCAGATACATCATTTAACTACATATCTTACCGTTGTATCCCCCTCCTAGGAACTGGTTAATAAAATCATAAAGCAAATTTAAAATCTTGTTCTTGGTTGCAGGTAGTCTTCCTTGGTCCCACACAGTCCTTTTTGCCGGACCCCGGTGCTTCTTGTGAGCTATTATCAAGGGGTCATGAGAAACAGAGCAAGGATTGCCCTTAATTAAAGTTTTAGAACCATCCTGTTAAATTAAAAGGTTAACATTAGTGCTAGTACAAACTACCATTTATTAAAACCTAGTACACCACCAGTCCTAGTGTAGAAAATCACATTTCTTTATTCAGGAGGATAAATTACCAGGGAAAACCGTGTAAAAGTTCCACTGAACTGAGAATAGCAACCCAGGTTTCGTTGTCTGATAACTTTTCTCTTTTCACGTTCTTCTTCCATTATATCTTTGAGAGAGTTAATTGAAATATCACTATCTTCATCCACCTGATGAACAAAATCAACTTATGAATCAGAAACCAGAGAGGGGGGACCAACTGTCTTAAAAAAGCTTCTTCACAATATGAACTAGTCCGGCTCAGAAAAAGCGTCAAAAAGCATGCAGAAAAGCATATGTGCTCTACTTGATGAAGGCTTCCACCAAAACTTCAAACATTAAATCTAGTTTCAACAATGGAAGAATTTACTTCTAAAGGCCAAATAATGCTGAACTGCTTATCAGTCTCGGGATACACAATAACTTCTTAGTTCTCATGAATAGAAAGGAAAAGACAGGCCAATAAGTATATAAGTCACAAGGCAAAGCAATAATTCCTTGTTATGCTTCTCAAAAAGTTATAGATTCGGTCTCTTCACCTCACTGATGCCTAGGAGTAATTCTGTTTAGAACTTAAATAGGACATAACAAAATTTAGAGATCCTTCATCTTCTATGAGTACAACTACGCCTCGAATCCCCGCTAGTTGGGGTCGGCTATATAATTTAACTAATTAAGTTGCTCCATTAGCTCCATAGCAATCCAAAATTTGAAGATTTAGATTCACTACTATTACAAGTTTTATACTTCAATCACAACTAATTTGTATCATCTATTTGGATCTTTTTCTTTTATTATGTCCTAATATGTGCTAAGAATGCATGGATTCCTAGATATTGTAGGTCATTTAAGACAATCATTCTAAATGATTTAAGATTTACCTCTTCCCATTTTAAGATATTTAATCACCATGTTTTCAAACCTACGGATCAATGTTTCTGGAGTCTAATGTTGGACATGACCGACCTATCTCAACCAGCCTTCTCTCATATTATCCTCCATGTGTGCTACTTGCACCTTCTACTGAAAGAAATCACTAATAATCTTGTATGACCGCACATCAATCTTAACATTCACACTTGCAACATTTATTTCGATAGGTATCCTCTTACATAACATTGTTGATCATATAACATTTTGTAGGAAGTGCTTTTCATTTTGATAGGTATCCTTCTATCGCATAACATTTTGGTACCACTTTCCCATTTCAACCATCCTATTTTGATTCTATGTGTAACATCTTTATCTCTCAGAACGTTTCCTACTACATCATACCTAGATATCAATAAAATATTACAATTGTGGAAAAAATCTTTTAGGCGTGTGCTCCATTTCATCTTCTATGAGTATTAAATTGAAAATATCCCTACCTCCAAATGTACCAACCAGCTCTTTATGGATGTCAAACACCAAAATTGAATTGTGTAACGGTGTTAAAAAAGTGTACTAGTATAAATGACATGTTTGCAGAAAGAAAAAAGCATCTCTTTTTTCTTTCTCCATGGAAACTAAGTGTTGTCAACCAAAATTTCCTGCATATCCCACCTTCCACATAGCATTCTGGCTATAACAAGATCAGTCCAATTTACAAGTTCTAGCTCTAATCAAAATAACAATTTTATCCAGAAATGCAAAAAAAAAAGGAAAAAAGAAAATATAAAAAAAATAAAAAGAGAAACAGCAGACAAAATTGGACTCAAATAGTGGCCATTAATGATATTGTAAAAAACCAACCTTTGCATCCTTGAGATGTGCTTTAGCAATTAACTCCGGCAGCTGACCCATGAATATATAATAGAATGTCTCCAACAAAAGCAAATTATCATGACGGAGATAGGTACAAGAGCCACCAACATGCTGTGATAAAACTAAGATGACATCCATTACATTCTCTTTAAACAAGAGCTCTAGAAACCTGTCTCTGAGAAACACAAATTCTGTCATCGAACCACCAGATTTCTGCTGGGTTGATATGTCTTGAATAGCCAAAACATTACGAAATAAACTAAGCACCAACTGCACCATTTTCCAGTCATCTTCTGTGAAAGCCTCACTGTTAACATAGTGAGACAAGTTTGTAACCAGATTAACAACATATGAATTCATGAAGAAGAAGCAGCTATCATATATAAGCTTAACATTCTTATATGAAGCACACTAAAGCCAACGAAAGGACTATGACATGTCAGCTCAATTTTATACATCACTTCAAAGGAATTTTACATATTTATGCACAAACAAAAATATGACGCCAGAAGATGATTGCAGTTACCAAGCCAAATTTTCCAATGGGCTTTCCAAGAGAGACATTATCACCGGCACAGCATCACTATAGGTAATTGATGACTTTACTCCCCAAAGAAGCTCTATCTGTTGCGGTATGTCATGTGATGCAGGATCAATGGGCATCGTTAGAAACACCATAACCTTTACTGTAAAATGAGATGGAGAGCAAAGGCAGACGAAATTAATAAAAACAACAAATTTCATGGTTACCAATATAAAATGAAATTGATAAACTAAAGTAAGATACCTGCATTTAACAGCAGATTTCGGTCATCTTGACAGTACTCAATAATAGGAATCAAATCTTTGCCCACAATATTCCATTTACATACTTGCTTGAAAACTTCTCGTGTTTGAGGGGCATCTCGCCTTAAAAACCTCAACAAATCCTTCAAATTATCTGCCAAGGAACAGGATAAAAAATAACAAATTAAACATATAATTTATGCGTGTAAAAAAAATTAACATAATCAGGTTACTAGGTAACTCTATTTAATAGATTTAGTGATACCCTAAAAATAAAGGTAAATAACCTTCTATAACAGATTAAATTACACTGATAGTGTGAAAGATTCATTACATTGTGAGTGTATGTAACTCAAATCGTTAAACAAAACCAAAATGTGACATCCATTTACTAAGGTTACAGCCCCTACACTAACAGAAAATAATATGAAGCTAGAAAAACAGATTAATTTTAAGATGAAAACTTTTTATCAATTAATCAACTACCTATACCTCAATCCTAAACTAGCTGAGATCGAGTATGTGGATCATATATATTCATTTCACAATTAACCACGAAAAGTTAAAGAGAAATGTAAAAATGTAGAAAGCAAGGTGAACAAACCTAAGCAGTACTCTCCTTTGGAATAGCCAATTCGATTAGCATCGTCGTCCTCTTCAATGATTCCGAGGCCAGCGCATAACATTGACAGCCCTTCCATTGATTATGAATCGTTCTTCTTTTTTTTATTGAGGTAGACTTTCTCGATTCAGGTATAATTGATATCAAATAGGATCTGGTGTGAAGCTTGACTGGTAATTCTGGAAGAAATTGTGGATCTTTTACGAACTTGATGAGTAATAAGTCTTAGGGTTTTTTATGGCGCCAAAGGGGTATCTGAAAGTTTTTCCCGCGCTTTCAGAAATCTACGTGGTAACTGGAGCAAGGATAAGAAGTCGAGTACCCGTGACGTGGCAGGCCTTCATTTGATCTTATTTTTTGTTCTCTTTTTTCTCGTGGCAAATCGGGACGGTACTTCCATGAAGCAAGTAAAGCAACTGTTTTAGGCACCATATTTATGGGGCTCATTTTTTATTACAGTTAATAAACTATGTATACGCTTAAAAAAAAGTTTTGTGAAGTGAAAAAGTTTGATTTCTTTCTTTAACAAGTATAAAGAAGAAGGATTTGCAACTGCTATGATTTCTGCCACAAAAATTGCACTTGAAATGAATATGAAACTCGAATTTCGTAAGAAACGTATGATATATATGAAGTAACAATTTGATGAGAATATTGATAATAAAATCTCAAAATCTTTCGAAGAGTCCTTTGGAGTTGATTAATTTATACATGGTAGTAGATAAATCTATTTTTTCACTTTAAAATAGATTTGAGCAATCTGATGTATATGAAAATATTTTAGTTTTTATTTAGCGGTAAAAATTAAGATTACTAGATGATGAAAATTTGAAAAAATATTGCCTTAATTTTGAATGTTCCTTAAAGCATAATAATCAATTCGATATTGATGGTTTAGATTTATTTTCGAAATTAAAAATACTAAGAAAATAGTATAATTAGAAGATAACAGTTTAACTGATACACTCGGTCAAATAAAAAAATTGATTCTTTTTCCAATGCCTACATTACTTATGGAATAATATTAATAACTCTTGCTACCGTCACTTCAGCGGAAAGAATTTTTCAAAATTAAAATTGATAAAATCTTACCGAAGATCAACAATGTCTCAAGAAAGGTTAAATGGATAAGAGATTTATCAATTAAGAATGGCTTATTATGAGTTATTGATTATAAGAAATTTATTAATAACTTTGTATGTAAGATACGCTAGAGAAATAGACTTCAAATAAATACATAAATAAAAACTAAAAAAAGATAAGGCTCATCATAAAATTTGACTTTAGGCCAAAGAACTCGCCGGGCCACCCCTGATGGCAAAGGCCTTTAACGGAGGAAAATTAAAGAAATCATTTTAAGAACTAGAAAATTACCCTAACAAAAATTATAATACAGGTTTTTTTCCCTTTATAACAAATCAAATATTTCTTTTCTAAATCCCTAGCTCATCTTCCTTTATGTAATCTTATCTTACATGGAGTGGTACTTTGTAACTTTTTTTTTGGACGATGGCAAGGTCTGGATTAAACAGAAAAGGGATAGGTTGAGTATGGTGAAAGTTAAACTTTCACATTTGGTATGTTAAACTAGGTGGTTTGCTAGTGAATTATAACTTAATCGTCTAATAAGTACTACTTTAGTTTGATTTGAACAAATTGCAAAATAGCTTACGACTTATTTTCGGTTGAAGTGTGAGTTGCTAGAAATTTGATTAAAAGCACGAAAACCCTTAACGAAATGTTGTTTGCCTTTTTTACTCCTTAAAAATAAATTGCACTCTAGATAAAATAGTCATTTAATTATTTTTCTAAAATTTAGGAATTTGAAATCAATTAAAATTTTACATATTATATCTTTTCTTATTTGAAATTATCTATATATATTAAAGGAATAAAGTTACCATATATAATTAGCATTGTGGTTAAGCCAAGTGGTAAGATAATAAATGTCAATAGTATATGGTAACTTTATTATATATTTTACTATGTTAGTTAAATAGACATACATGCATGCATGCATGCATGCATACGTATATACATACATACATATATACACACACATATACATATAAAAAACTGGATTTGAATTAAAGTATAATTTTAGCTTTATAGATAAAGTTTTTAAATTTGAATTAAAATAAAAAAGAAATTTATCTTTTGTTATCATGTTATCATACTTAATTGGGTTAATGATCATATACAATCATGTTAGGAACTTTTGTTATCTTTTCTAATTATTTGAATAAACTAATGCAAATAACTATAAAATTCTTTCACATTTAAAATCCTATAATTATAGTACTTTAAAACACTATAGCTAGATAGAATAAAGCAAATTTCTTTTAAAATAAATGTAATACATAGACGCACACGTCTATGTTTATCCAGATAACAAAAAAGAGTTTAAAAATCGAATAAAAGTTTACTACGTATATAATGAAGTAAACCTATATGCTAAAGAAAGAAACATCACAAAAATCCGTCTTTATTCAAAAATAGTTATTTCTTTCTTTCTTTTTTTAAGAATATTTATTTGAAGAATCGATTTGTATAAATGGAAATCAAACAAATAACAAAACTTTGGCTATACGATTTCTATCATTAATTTCAATTTAGCACCTTCTAGAAATTGAAGGTTATAAGGGTATAATATTTTTTTTGTTGAAAAATATTAGTCTTGAATCAATATATTATGTGAAAGGTTTTTTTTTCTCGAATTCAACCAGAGAGATATTGGTTTCTAATTGAATAGTTTCTATAGCGATTTTCAAGTGTGACAAAAAGTATATTTAAAAAAAAATTGGTATGACATGATTTTTCTTAAAAAAAAATATATAAACAAATTATTTCGAAATGAGATTATTTTTTAAAATACAATGTTATTTAAAAAATAAAAAGATAAGATATTTTTGAATTTTAGTAGAGAGTTTTTAAAATTATTATAATAGAAGTCATATCATGGATAAAATCAAGAAACCGAAATCTTATGGAATATTTACATAAATATCCGGCCAGATTAATTATTTACTTTTTATAGATAATATGTCGACACACATGATTATACACATATTATATATAAATTATACATCATTCAATATTTTAATTTAAGTGGTTGGGTGAGTACCTATTTAGGTTGATTAGATAAAGCCAAAAGAAAAATATGAAAGAATTTCAACCAAGAACTAAAAATACAAATAAAGTTCCTATGTAGACTATTTCAATTAAAACTCATCCTTTTATAACAATTAAATTATTTTTTTGTAAATAAAGAAAGAAAGAAATTAAAAATAAGATAAAATAAAATTATATAGAAAAATATATATGAAAAATCTAAAAATCGGAAATAAGAGATGACAATGCATTTCTTCTCCTATTTCATCTTTGTTGAGTATAAAAAATTTGGAAGCTCATCTCATCGATTTCAAATAATTTTTTCAACTAAAATACATAGATTATAATAATTTACATTGTGTGTCTTTTTTAAAAAATTACGATTACTAACAAACTGCTATAATATTCGAATTTGAATTTAAATGCAATTTGAGTAGTTTCCATTGAAGTTAAGCCAAGTATAGTGTCGAGAAAAAATTACTTGGCAATTTTAAGACATATGCAATGTTATGTAATAACAATCAACTTATTCAACATTTAATAAACAAAAAAAAACTGTATATATATAGGGTATTCAAAATTTAAAATATGTGGCTAGAGATGNCTATATATATATATATATATATATATATATATATATATATATATATATATATATATATAAAGTTCTAGAAATTAAAAGTTTAAAATTGAAATATTTTTTTAAAAGATAACAACATACCAAATAAGAGTTCAAGTCATAGTAAAAGAATCACGTCGTAACCAAAGAATCGTTCATATTGTGTCAACCTTTGTGCTTTGCCATAAATACGAGTTATTATTTCTCTTAATGGCTATTTTTAGGTTCTAATGACACCAATGAGAATGGTGCAAAAATAAAATTATCACTACGAGATTTGAGAAAATGTTAGTTTTGAATTAAAGAATAATTTTGAATTTATAGATAAACTTTTAAAATTTGAAATAAATTAAAAAAAATTATCTTTTGCTATCATGTTATCATACTTAATTCGGTTAATACCATATGCAATCATGTTAGGAACTTTTATTATCTTTTTTAATTATTTAAATACTACTTCACCTATGGCAAAAAAAGAAAAGGAAAAAAAAACTAATGTATATAACTATAAAATTCTTTCACATTTAAACCCCTAAAATATAGTTATTTAAAACACTATACCTAGATTTGAATAAAGCAAAAAAAAATTAAAATAAATGTAATATATATGACACATCTATGTTTATCCAGATAACAAAAAAGAGTTTAAAAAACGAATAAAAGTTTATTTACATATATAATGAAGTACACATATATGCTAGAGAAAGAAACATCACAAAAATCTGTCAATATTCAAAAAAAAGTTATTGTTTTCTTTTTGAAGAATGTTTGTTTGAAGAGTCAATTTGTATAAATGGACATCAAACATATAACAAAACTTTGGTTGTACAATTGCTATCATTAATTTCAATTTAGCACCTTCTAGGAATTGAAGGGTATAAGCTGAAACCTCTTTATTTAGTTGCAGTCAATCCAACATTGCAACGGTATAATATTTTTTTCATTGTAGAATATTAGTTTTTAATCAGTAAATTATGTGAAAGTTTTTTTCCTCGAATTCAACAAGAGAGATATTGGTTTTTAATTGATAGTTTCGATAGCGAATTTCAAGTGTAAAAAAAGTATATTTTAAAATCTGTTTATACAGGATATTCAAAATTCAAAATATGTGGCTAGAGATATCGATAAACTCAAAATGGAGTCATACTGAAATAAAGTTTCACTGGCTAAGGAATCATTTAAATTCTTAGATAGCCGATTAAAGTGAAAAACATTAAGAATAATATCTTCATTTGCATCATTATAAAAATAATCATTATTGAAATATATATAAAGTTTTAGACATTGAAATTTCAAAATAGAAATATTTTTTGAAAGATAATAACATACCAAATAAGAGTTCAAGTCGGAGTAAAAGACTCACGTCGTAACCAAAGAATCGTTCATATTGTGTCAACCTTTGTGCTTTGTCATAAATACTGTAGACATGTGATTTTGACCCTCCCCAAGATTTTATATATTTTAGCATATAAATATTTAGTTTAGGTCTAATATGGTTATTTCAATTAGTTTTGACTCTTTTACTTTATTT